TAATTAATTTTAATAAACTTAATTTTTAATTTAAGGTATTTAAATTTAATTTATTTTTATTTTTATTTATGGTATTATTTAATGCAATTATTTTTATCTTATTTTACCTTTTTTTTAAATAAATGCCACATATATTAAATTAAAAGTCTAATTTAAATAATAATTAATTAAAAATAAATATAAAATTTTATTAATTAATTATTAAATCTTTATTATACTAAAAACAAAACCTACGTGCACTTAGAGTTGAGTTGAAAGAAGTAAAGGAGAAGAAACCTTCCGAAGGGTTTGGTAAAGAAGGTCTCCATCAAATCTGTTTGAGCAAAGATTCTGCGTATTAAATAAGGCTTTAATAGAAACCTTAGATTTTCTATAAACATGAACCCAAAAATTAAAAAAAAAAAAAAAATTAGGCATCCCTTCAATACTTTGACCCTACATTTCTCTTGCTTCCAAAGGTCACCTGAAAATTGGTAATCCCAAATTTCTCTTCTAAAATTAATTTATGTCCTCTACCGTACGTAACATACTTAGATTATTTTCGTATCATTATTATTTCTTTGAACTCTTCTACCAACCCATCTAGTCTTTGACCCACCCCCAGAAAAAGAGGTTAAACAATGAAGTCAACAACAATGTTCAGAACATTATCCATCTAGCCTTTGACCCTACTATGGAGTCACCAACAATGTTCAGAACATTATCCATGACTATCTCGCTGCCTATAGTTAAAAATCTCGCCTATTGTTTCACCCAAAAAAAAAAATTCTCGCCTATTGTCAGCCACGTCAATGTTGTAAAAAGCGCGTCTAGGCACCAGGTAGTGCTCCACCTTCTTTTTAGACATCAGATGGCAGGGTTAGTCCTTTTTTTCTATATATATATATATAAGCCAATTTGAATCTTTTGAATCCTCAACATAAAAGACCTATTTAGCCAAAAAAAAAAAAAAAACCCAAAAACCCCAAAAAACCAAACCGCCTAAGGCACCTGGTTGCTGTGGCTCAGCCCAACAGTGACAACATTACACACATTAGTCGAAAAGAAAATTGAGTCAACCAATCTTAGTCTTTGTCCCTCATGCGCTTGAATCTATACAGATTTTGTAACTACACATCAGATTGTGAGACAACGTTAGTCACTACAACGTCTCTGCTGTCTATGGATAAATTTTCATTACGGAAAACACATTAATACCAGGAATGAAATACAATAAGCTGCAATTTAAAAGCACTAGGCAGTACGTAGCTTAGGAGTGCTTGCATGTACAAGGGTTTTCGGAACAATAACAAAGTCTACATCTCACTAAAATCTAAGCTCACTGTCTAAATTAGATTAAATCAATATACAAATCCGTTAATAAGTTTTTCATATGAAAAGAAACAACCATTGACAAGTTCAGTGCAGTATAACTATATAACTAAAAACATTCTGTACCATTTAGCATTTCTCAGGTTGATGTTCATAAGTAATTGGAAAGATCTTCCTGGTTCTCCAAATCCCAAATGGCCACTTTCCCATCCAATCCTGAGATTTTAAGGGATAAAGAATAAAGATAAATGATGAAGGCCCTTCAAAAGAATGACATTTTTTCATATGAGAAATAATATTTTAAAACAGAGAAACATGTTCATTCACCAACCTGATGTGCTGAACCTCATTACGCGAGTGCCTTCACCCTCCTTTAGAGGCATGATACAGCTAGAGTTCCAAAAGGAAAAACACATGTTATACGGTGAACTTTAGATAATTTTTAACAAAAGAAGAGATTGATCTTAACATCTTGCTTCTCAACTTCATTTAGAAAGAGTTATGGGGTTAAATAGATAGAACTAACTGGAATGGGGATCAAACAAACTAAAAGGGAAATCATTAACTTGTGAAGTGGTAACAGTAGGAGATAGATGGGAGAAATGTAGTAGAGAGATACTTTATACAATTCTCATGGATGACTCCTTGTCCCCCTGAAGGTTCAACTGTGTCATTGCTCAACCCATGCTTTGATTGGCCATATAGTTTGCCAAATGCTTCAGAGAACTGCAGCCACAACAAAATGGAAAAGCAATCTTTGAGTAAAGCTCTATGGATATTTGATTCCTGAAATTTTGATAATAAATGGTATGGAAATTTGGGTTTCCAAATCAATTTTGAATCAAATGTTCACAGCTGTTGACCATGAGCAATTCATAATTGGAGAGCAGGCATTCAACTGAATGTCTGTACTGACCATTTGTAAAGAAATGATAGCATCAATAGATGATTCCTACCTGTCAATGTGTGCAGAGAGAAACAGTGGCGTAGCCCATGGTGTTGGACAAGAGGATGCATAAAATAAGTAGGAATTTGTTTAATTGTACTTCAAAAAAAAAAAAAATCTGTTGATGCTTACTCATTTCTTTTTAATAGATTTCCAGATAACAAAGTTTTTAGAATAAATAAACATGGACCGTTAGACTCAAATTAAAATATTTGATAAAAGTAAAGGCTAGTTTCTTTCTTGCATTCCTAAAATTGTAAGAATATGACTCCAAACTGATCACACCAACAGCGAAAAGCTTTTTAACTGGACAACACAGAAAATTTAAATTTCTCCTATCTGTAACTGCAGAAGCTGCTTACATGCTAAGGGATTCTGTCCTAGCATCCCTCTGCCACACCCAGCTGATTTCACACTCAAACAAATAGAGAACAGCATCAAATTTTAATTAAATACAAACCTGTGAACCCTGTTTTGAAGGGGACGATGCTATTTTCCTTTCACCTAGGCATCTGATGAAGCTCCTACAACACAAAAACATCAGTCAGCATATTATTAGAATAGACTACCAGGCAGATATAGAGAACCATATTGGCAGTGAAGCTTGCATACCATATTCCTGTTTCACCTGCTGCAAAGACCATTGGGTTGCAGTCAAACCCAACTCCTATTACCATTTTCTCAGAAACAAATAAGACCTGAAAGTATTACATTTTATTGCAAGAAAGTACAAACTTAAAATGACGTATCCAATGACAATATGTGGAGAAAATATTAAAAGAAAAATAGTTAACAAGAGAGGACGCTGACCCACATCACGGAGAGGCAAATTACGGAGTACAACATTTTGTGCCAAAGGAGATGGACCAACATCGTCAACAAAGTAAATCATTGAATTATGACCTGTAAAGAAAATATTATAAATAGGAGAAACATCAGAAGAAAACCAAGTCAAGATGTAAAACCTATAATAATGAGAAAATGTGAGATTTCAGCTCTTATAGAACTAAATTCAGAGTAGGGCAATGGAAAATTGCTTTAGTTGTCAAGTTAAGTGGTTCCACCTAGATTTCCACTTAACTGGAAGTTAGATAAGCAATAACCCAATAAAAATTCATCTAAATTTCAGGTTAAAAGACAGGTTGCTCCAAGTCAGCAACTGGCATGCTATGGACAACAATTTTGCAAGTTATAGGTAATTAGAGATATTTTCTGACCTACATAAGCCAAGGTATTGCCACTAGGTGACCACTTCACACCAAATGCCCAGGAAAATGAGAGATCAAGCTGAATAATTTGCTGTCCAACAGGAAGACCCAAAGGGGAAAAGAGTTAGGCCCTAGCATTGACAGAATACAGAACTGAAACTGAAAAGCAATTAACAATAGAAAAGCAGAATCCTGTTTCCATTTCATTAAAAATAAATAAATAAATAAAGCCGTGTTTGATTCATTAAACTTATCATGGTAAAATAAAGTACGCAAAATGAAGAGAAATAAACGTTCGGTCTAACCAAATAATCTATCTCAAAGTATGTTCTTCCAACATAATCAAATTTATAAATAGATCCCCACAGCAGACAGAGGAAAAAAGGATATTAGACCTCTCCAAACTTTGAATCTGGAGTGCCTGAATTTGATTCCCTGGCCAATTTAAAGAGGAACCATAAATGATATTGTAGTTTGTGATAATATAGAGAAAACCAAGAAAAGGGAAAAGCTAGTAATACACAGTAATGGATAACTAGACTTAACACACCTTGTATCAACACCTTTGATAAAGGTGGAAAAAACTCGGCATTTTCCATCTGTTGATGTTGTTGCCAAGAAAATCTGTAGCATTAATCTATGATAAGACTCAAAAAAAAACAGTGTGTTTTGCAAAAAATTAAAGCAACTAGCCAGTGACAGGTAACTGAAATTTTTTTTTTTTTTTTCCATCAAAGACAGATAACTGAATTGCTTGTTTCACATTGGCAATTAAGCCAAAAAGAAAAAAGAAGGAAAGAATTAAGGTGGTGTTTAGAAGCATATAATACAAAATTCACAATAATATCAAATCTAGCTCATAATAACTACTCTGCAGGCAAAGAAAAACATGTATTTTATTTGATTAATGACTCATCATGAGTAACCTTTGCCATCCTAACTACCATTAATTATGACTATGATAATTATGTTTCAACTTTCAACAATCAGATAAGACACCCAAATTTAGAATTTATCATCTCCACAATCAACTACTATAGTTTGCTACTTCATTGCTACTTTCCAGCACAAAGACTATAGTGAAGTTTTGACACATGCAGAGTGTCAAGCACACAGGAGCATTCAGAACCGCCTGCCTACCAATCTCCTCACCATCCATTTTATCTCACCTAAACCTCATCAAGTGAATACTGAATAATGAATATTCATCCACCTTTTCGTCCAAAAGAACTAATGAAATAGAATGTCATTGACTGTGATATCACCATAAGTTTACAAGTTAATTGAAGCTGCAGGGGTGGTCAAGCTGCATGACAACAATATGATTGAGAACCACTAATTCCAATTTATCAACTTATGCAACAAAGCAACTTTCAAATTGTTTTGGACATGAACACACCAGGAGATTGAGATGAAGGTTTTAGTAAAGGGAACCCATGGAAGCAGAAAGGGAAGTTCCTTTACAACAAAAACATAATCAACTTAATGCCAATTCTTCCTCAACATGGCATCGCTACCCATTCTATATTTATGATTCTTCAGATCTTTGTTTTGAACAACATTTCCCATCACTCATCTAACTACCGTGCTTACCGAACACAATTTTGATGCAAACATATAACCTCTTGCAACAAGATGACTTGGTTACATCACATAAGTTTCAATAGAGGAAGTACATTTGAATGGAACTAGAATAAAATGAAAATTATATAACTGGAAGATGCAGTATAGTTAGAATACAAACATTATTGGGATGCCAAGCTACACTTGTCACAGAGGAGTCATGTTTTTTCCTGATAAGTTTGCTTACCCACCTGAAAAAGTAACCAAGCAAGAAATAACATTGACCATAAAGGAATAAGAGCTTTGAATGAGATAATAAGACATGGTAACTAATGTGACCATTTACCCAACTGACTTGCCACTGCCACTTCATTACCAAAGAAACTGTATACATTATCTTTCGAATAAGTACAGTTATGGAATTTAAATTATTAAGTAATATCATGACATATATTCAAATTAAAGTAACATAAATGAGAGAATCCTCCAGACTACAGCTTGCCTAATTTTCATTCCTGACATACTCTTGTTAACCAAATATTATCCTATATATGAGTCAAATACGCAATGTTAAGAAGTCCAATGTACAGAAGGGATACAAATGAGAGAACCTCCAACTTAAAAAAAAAAAAAAAATGAAATCTAGTTACTACAGATTGAATCAAAACTCAAGTTGAAATGCTTCAGCATATCCAAGCATAGGCAGGAGACATTTCTCCACTCAAGCTCACACCTATAATAGAATATTGCAGCCTAAAGCACTCTATTGATTAGCTGGGTAGAATTAGTTTGAGTTCAACCCACCAAGGATTCAAACCAATACAAGAAAAACATATGGATTATGATCCTTGTTACAGCAGACTTCCTCCACATAAAGCAGAGAAGCAAGATGACAACAGTGACTATTATAAAAAGAATGGGACAGATTAAAAAATAGTAAGGTAAATAAGATAAGAACAATACCAGTTATTCTCTTGCTCATAATAGCATATGCACACAGTTTTAGCACCACTTCCAACAGCAAATTTGTTTTCTGATGATTTGAAGAGAAAAGAGTAGTATGTTAAACAAGATAAATAAATAAGACTACATATTGCTTAGAATTCCTCCATAGCCTACAGAATTTGGAAAAACTTGACGCATGATGTATTGGAAAGTAGATAGACTGTAATATATAAAATTACAAGTATGAACTCAATGGTAAGCAATCTGCGCCCAGAAAGTTGTGAAGAAAAATCTACAAAGTAGAATTGCATTGCAGTACCTTTTGGGCTCCACTGAACACAGAGTGCAGCTCGATTTAGCCTAAGGATGACAAGTGTTGGTACCCATTCTGTTCCTTCCTGGTTCCACACATATCTTCAAAGGAAACCATTGAATTTTGTGAACAAATGAACAAGGTAATGCAAAGGGAAAAGGTCAAAAAGACTTGGAAAAATAAACAAGTAAAATGATCTTGATTATCTATCAGCACACACAGTGAGAATAAAAGAGATCTAAAGCTACCATAAAGCTACTGCTTTTGAAAAACTTCAACTAAATAAGATACTCACGAATTCCGGTCATGAGATACAGTGACAATTTGGTTTGACTTTGCACTCCAGTCTATGCCAGAAACAATTTGGTCATGCTGTGACAATATTGACATAGAAATTAGCATCTTAATCAAACACTAGGCAGAGTTGAGAGCAAAAAGAATCACCATTCGGGGGGGGGGGGGTTTGAATACCCTTAAGATTAACACTCTATTAATACATTTCCAAGATAAATTTCATATATTTAACAAGAAGAACAGGTAATGCTAAATAGTAATGCTATTAGCTATTTGGCATTTAAACTCGCAGAAAGGGTCCAGTGTTCATTAGTGATGGATTTAAGACTGCCACAAACATTTCCTCCAACACAACTGTATATGTTTTTGGAAAAAGGAAATAAATTAAATACCTTTTGAAGAACATGCACTTTCTCCCACTTTTCTTGCATCAATTTAGAGATGTGAACTTCATTGTTATTTGGGCAAAATGCAATCACTACAAGGAAGAGGAAAAATTAGAAACTTAAAACATACATTGAAATCTAAAGCCCATGCAACTAAAATAAAATAGACCAAATCTCTAATTTAAAACTAAAAAACATGGAAACCAAGACAGAGCATAATTGATATATATATATATATATATATTGTACTATTTCAGATTTTTCTCTAATTTTACATTTTGTGACGAAAATGCAGCATTGTAAAAATAATCACAAAATTTTCTGTTCCTTTTCGAAGATTTTCCCAGCAACCAAACAGAGGTAAGAGATAGAAAAGAAAGGAAATATTATTACCAAAAAAAGAAAAGAGAGGAAATAGAGAAGGGCGGAATTTACTCGAGTGATCGGGACTCCAAGCATGGCAAGTTATGCTCTGAGCCAAATGCTGAACTGCGATTGCCGCCATAATTCGTGAAATCCCTAAATTTCTGAATTGAGAAGAGAAGAAGTCAGGGGGAATCTGGAGCTGAAAGACCTTCGACTTCGGTCACCTCCCTCTTCCGTCATATTTAACGGAAAAGAAAAAAATAGATGCGCCGCTAAATATTTTTTTTTTGGCCGTCCGCCGTTATATCTTTTTTTTTTTAAGGAGCCGTTAAATCTCCTTAAATAATCATTTTAATAAGAGTTTCTAAGATTAAAAAAAAAAAGTTTCTAATACTGCAATCTGAACGGTATGAAATTACAAATTGAGAATTAATATGTTTGTTAGTGCTTTTTGTTTTTTGGTACAGCATAAGCTATTAAAAGCTTAGTTTATGAGAAACATAGTCCCAATACAATCGATTTGCAAAATCAAACTAATACTCATTGGGGGGGTTGGAAAAAGGGTAGTACCCAAACCCAACTCAAGATTATGCCCAACGGGGGCCATATAGTCAGCAGTTGAATTACCTTCCCTGAGAGTGTGATGTACTAAGCAAGAAGTGAAGGAGTCAAGTAACAAGAAGATATCCTATAGAAGCATTGAAGTCGCACCAGTTGATACCTTTTGAGACTGAATTAGTTGTATTGCCAGCAAGGAATCTATTTCCAATATTAACTGTTGCACTCCAAGGGAAATTGTGAGTTTAAGACCTTCTCTACATCCCCATAATTTAGCCAAAAAGCTTGTGGTAATGCCCACATTCATAGGAAACCCATGATGCCAATGCCCACATTGATCACGAAGAAGTCCCCTTGCAGCTGCGTTACCTAAATTATCATCATGTGATCCATCTGTGTTAAGTTTAAGGAAGTCTTGGGGTGGAAGGGTCCAACTGACCCATCTGGGAGTTTTTAAGGCGAGGGTTGCCTTAGCCTCAAAAGCAATCTCTGTTTCCAAAGCCAATTTGCTTGCTTGTTGAGTAATAGTCAGCGGTGGGATCCTTTGCACCTCAAATATCAGCTTGTTCCTGCTTTTCCACAAGTACCAGATAGTTGCAAGAAAGATGCTCGGCCATGTGTCTGAAGCACGAGGCCTCCTCCTTGGTTTGGAAGAATTTTTCTCAACCAAGGGTCAAGATCCAACTGGAAGAAGTCTTCAGGAAGAGAGTTAGTGGAATCCCAAATGAGCCATGAGTGGTAGCAATCCTGCAAAAGGTGTAATGGGGTTTCAGGTGATTGCTCGCAGCGAGGGCAAACTGAAGTAGAGGCCATGTGTCTCTCAAAGTGGACTAAATTTGTAAGAATTCTTCCTCTCTTCAATAACCAAACAAATAACTTGACTTGCTCCAGACAACATAATTGCCATATCCATGTCCATTCTCCAGCTTCGAGGATGTCAGGTAAGCGAGATTGTTGGATGAGTTGGAAGGTGGATTTGACAGAAAAGTCACCATGGGATGAATTATGCCAAGAAATGGTATCTTCTAAGTGGCCTACAATAGGTAAAGGGGTAGCTGCAATAACATGTAATAAATTATATGGGAGAAGTCCTGTCAGTTGAGTTAAGTTCCATTCAGAGTTGTTAATGATAGCAGCCATTAGTAAGGCAAGGAGATGGTGTGGAATCGAAGTTAATGTACAGTCAATAAGCTTTGAATTATCTGCCCAAACATCATGCCATAGCTGAATTGTATATCTGAACTGACTCACCACCGTATTCTAAGATGCAGCACATCCTTACATTTCAGAATGCTTCTCCATGCGACAGAGGAGGAAGGGGTGGGGTTGCAGCCCAAAAAGCCATTCGAATGGAGGTATTTATGGGTGAAAGCCTGACACCTTGGTTTATTGTTTCCAAAAAGCATGTGCCAACCCAATTTTGCGATCAAAGCTCTATTACTGTCCCTTGCAGTTTGCAACCCCCTGCCTCCATATTTCTTGGGTAAACAAACATTATACCAGTTAACAAGGTGTGGTTTATTAGAGTGCATATCTGTACCCCAAAGGAACTTACGGTTTAAAGCATCAATTTCTGAGCAGATGTTGCTAGGTAGGAGAACCGTTTGCATGGTATAAGTTAGGATCGAAAAGGTTACAAATTGGACCAAAGTTCTTCTACTTGCCAAACTCAGGAGATTTTGTTTCCATCCTGCAAGCTTAAGTTGCATTTTTCCAAAACGTATTTATATGTAGTAGATTTGGGCCTGCCATGAAGGATTGGAACCCCTAGGTAGATCCCTAAATCATTTGTGAGAGGGATGCCACAAGCTATGCTATAAGAGTTTGCTAAATGTCTTTGGACATTTGGCGAAACAAAGAGTTTTGATTTACTCGGATTTAATTCTAGGCCTGAGCATCTAGAAAATTATGAAAGGCAATCCATAATAGTCTCAATCTGGGAAAGTGAGGCTATACCAAATAACATAAGGTCATCTGCAAAGAACAAATAAGAAAGGGCTAGTCTTCCTCGTGAAATCTTAAAAGGTTTCCACTAATGTTGCTGCAGTCTGTTTAAAATCATATATGAGAGTTTCTCCATGACCATGATAAAGAGATAAGGTGATAAAGGATCACCTTGACACAACCCTCTTTGTGGTTGGAAATAAGGGAGCTTTTCTCCATTCTAGATTATTGACAGCTGCAAGGAGGTAACTGAGAACATGATTAACCAAGTTAGATGTTCTAGTAGATTAAAGTCAACAAGTACTTCATTGAGGAAATCCCAGCCCACACTGTCAAAAGCTTTGTGGAGGTTAATTTTGAAAGCAAGGGCCCCTTTCTTTCCTTTTAATCTTTGCATTAAGTGCACAACTTCTTGAACTAGGATAATATTATATGTTGTACTTCTGCCAGAAAAAAAGCTGCTTTGCCAAGGTCCAATGAGGTTTTGTAGATAGGGACGCAATCTATTAACAATCACTTTTGCAAGGATTTTATAGGTGACATTGAGCAAGCAAATGGGTCTGAATTTTTGCATAACACACGAGCTTGCCCCTTTGGGAATAAGAGTAATGTGGGCGTGAAGAATGTATAGCTCAAAAGAACCATCAATAAGAGACTTGTTGACAAAAGAATGTAGTGTGCCCGAGACAACTTTCCAGTGTTTTTGATAAAAGATTGGCTGTATACCATCTGGATCGGGGTTTTTTAACCTCTCATTGAAAAGAGGGCTGTTTTGACCTCTTCTATGGATACAGGAAGCATTAGAGATGCACTATCTGCATTTGACAATCTAGGTTGGAAGTAGGAATAATCCCCAAACATGGTGCATGTCTCTTTCCAAGAGAACAAACCATATGTTTGTTAGTGCTGTATTATATTGTATTATGCTATAATTATAATTTTTTTTGTTTTTTACTATTTTAAATATATATCAAATAGTAATTAAAATTAATAAAATATATAAAAAAATTAATTGAAATTAAATATAAATTATAAATTTATGTTTTTATATAGGTGAATGTGAAGAAGGTGCATAAGAAGCACCGAAGAAGCCTGTTGATTAGAAATGTACCGTCAGAATTTTTTTTTTTTTGGCCACAACACATCATATATATATTGATAGAAAATACAAAGTAATTACACATTCTACTAATAATAGAAAAACAAACTTAGCAGATTAAAAAACACAAAGAAATAAAGATAGAGATCTGCATTTGATGATAGAAGGTTCCTGGCACCATCACCACCTAGAGGAAGAAAACACGCTGCACATCCTCTATGGACATAGCTTTGTGTTAAGCTTGACTTCTAATCCATCCTCCCCCAAGCCTTAGTACTT